CTTTTCTTTAAGTGAGGTTTGCATCCTTTGATCTTCTAGCCTGTACTCCGTCTGCGGTCTTCTATGTCTTTTCCCAGGCTTCACGACTTTGCACTTGGTGGGGTCAAACTCCAGGAGGCATTTGTTGGACCAGGCTTGCAGCTTGTCCAGATCCCCTTGTAATCTTACCTGATCCTCGTCCACTTGTATTTTGCTCATTAGCTGCACATCATCAGCAAAGAGGGACACCTCTGAATCTATTCCTTCCATCGTATCATTCACATACACAAGAAATAGCATCGGACCTAGGACTGATCCTTGTGGAACTTCACTCGACACATGTACCCACTCAGACACCTCATCACGAACCAACACTTTTTGTTTCCTTCCTGTCAGATATTCCCTGATCCATTGCAGTACTTTCCCTACTATTCCTGGCTGCTCTTCTAATTTTTGAACCAGTCTCTTGTGTGGTATTCTGTCGAAAGCTTTCTTACAGTCCATAGAGATGTAATCTCTTTCTCTCTCTCTCTCTCTCTCTCTCTCTCTCTCTCTCTCTCTCTATTTCTCTCCTGTTTTACTTCTGTTACCAAGTAGATTTGTGACAGGATTTTCCATCCCTGTAACAGTGCTGATTATCATGTTTACATCGCCTTAACCACTTAACCAGCGATCCTACAAGAATCACGCACCCAGCAGAGCTGGGTGTTGTTCATAATCCGAGGACACTCGTGGTAGTGGTAAGCTCAAAGCTAATTTAAGCCACCTTTCGTTTGAATCCCGCCTCCACAGGTAATAAACTGTCATAATGAACTCTGCACAGAGCTTACAGTGCCCCAGTCTTAAACCGAACAGGCATTTTTCTCATTATAAACAATACAACAAAACCTACACTGTCTGGGGCATACAACAACGCAGTGTGGACCCGACAGAAGTACTCTCTCCAGGGGGGTCTGGAGGACACTTGCCGTGGAGGACAGTAATCTGCCTTCCATGTCAGTGTCCACCATCAACGGCAATTCATACACAGATATACCGAACTTCGCCGAACATCTAATTGGGAAAAGAAATGGAAAATTACGACCAACCCTGACAAAGTTCTTGTTAGTACGATAGGATGTTTTGCATCAACCATCGAAGACAAGGGGGCTATCTCCATCAGAGGTACACCTGTAGCCATTAGTAACCCTAACAAGATCTTGGGATATGAAATAGACAGGCTGCTCCACTCAACATCTCACGTCAGTAAAAAGATCAACATAGCCAAAGCCGGTCTTAGCAGTCTCTATAGATTTAATCAAACCCCTTTACACGTCAATAAACATCTGCATAAAATGTTGATAAGACCTATACTCGAATACCCATGTGTCCCAATGTTGTTAAGAACAAAGACCAACATGCTACGGTTGTACCGGGTCCAGAATAGAACTCTCCGCTTTATTACGGGTACCAGAAGGAGAGACGGAATCAGTCCTGTCCCACAGGACCCAAAGAATGACTCTTCCACAGAGGCTGCGTCGCTCCATTCATAAAGACGATTACCACTGACCAATGATCTTGAGCAACCTCCCTGCAGATGAAGATGATTGGGTAACACCAGAACCCTTCTATGGAGATATCTTATATAACTTTTCTACTTTCACATCTACTATTGTAAATACGCTATATTTACTATGGCGGGACACCACCTGGAAAAAAGCCAACATGCCCAGTGGTTTTACATGAATTGTCTATATAATCATCGCCTTGTCTTGTCGTTGAAGTTTTCGTCATGCAATCGTAAAAAAAAAACGCAATTGCAACTTAAATATTTATTACCGACTCAGCGTCATGCACCTATATGTCTGTTATATCTGTGTGACTCTGATGGGTAAGTGTTATACCACTTTCAATAATTTTCTGTTATTACACACTTTTTAAATTGCACAGAAGTGGTTGAGTCACTTCCCTTTTATATCCTTCCTCATTCCCCCTCCCATCCTTTTTCCATATTTCTATCATTACCCATCCTTCTTCCTCACCCTTCTTATCAAAGCTCTGGTCGTAAGTTGAAGTTTAACATACACAGAGAGTATTTATAACACAACATAAAGGGAGAACACATGATATAGGGTGTAACAACATACCCCTGTAGAGAGATACTGCCCTGTGTATAGAGGCCCTGTCCTATTTACAGAGATATTGTTCTGTACAGAGGTACTGTCCTGTGTACAGAGGCACTCTCCTGTGTACAGAGGTACTATCCTGTGTACAGAGGCCTTGTCCCGTGCACAGAGGTACTGCCCTGTGCAGATGTACTGTCCTGTGTACAGAGGTACTGTCTTGTACCGAGTAACGAGGTACTGTCCTGAGTATAGAGGCCCTGTCCTGTGTACAGAGGCCCTGTCCTGTGTACAGAGGTACTGCCCTGTACAGAGGTACTGTGTTGTACAGAGGTACTGCCCTATGTACGGAGGTACTGCCCTATGTACAGAGGTACTGCCCTGTGTACAGAGGTACTGTCTCGAGCAGAGGTACTCACCCCAGGTTGTGGAGAGTGTCGTTGTTGGGAGGGTCTGTAAGGAGAGCAGTGACTGAGGCGGAGCTGCGCCTGGCGTTGACCTCCACCGTCAAGTTCCACGCTGACGATGCTGTCTCCACGCCAGCCACCCGCACGCCGCCGCGAGCCTTGCATCTGCCGGGACCAGGGAGAAATCTGATTTACTGCACTGTTACTGGTGAAGGCTCGTTCCTCCGTCCGGTCATAACAAGACAAGTATTCTTCCTGTTGTCTACCGGAGGAGGGGAGCCCGTCAGCATACTCCAAAGTTCTGAGAGACAGACAACTAAGTTAGACACGTAAGTGTCTTACTGTCTGTAGGTCTGTCTGTATATATGTGCTAGTCTGCCTTACCTTTCAGTGTGTATGTCTGCCGTCCTCTCTAGCTGTCTGCATGTCTATCTGTAGATATCTGTTTATCTGTCTGTTAATATGTCTCTGTCTCTGTGGCTATTCCTGCATGAATAATTCCTTTCCTACCAGGAAATTGTACAAATATATATGTCGTGCTGAATAGGTAAAACTTGCGATTTTGGCTTAAATAGTAACGCTTTTGCCGAATAAGGCAAGCTAAAATTTATGTATGCAATATTTTCGCAAAAAAAAATATTCTGAACCTGACGAAAAAAAGATATTTCATTGTGTTTGTTTATTATTAAATTTTTGTAAACTTATCTAAAAAATATTTATCTGAATTAGGCTAAATTAAATTACGCTTGTTATAATAAGGTTAAGTAAGTTATCTAAGGTTATTTTGCAACAAAATTAATATTTTTACATTAACGTAAATTAAAAAAAATAAATCTTTAAACTTAAAAGAGAAATTTTTACAAAGGATTTAATTTTAAACGAGTTCTTGTTAATTGACCAATTTTACCTATTCGGCACGACACACACACACACACTATATATATATATATATATATATATATATATATATATATATATATATATATATATATATATATATATATATATATATACACTATTAAATAGTAATGATAGTAATAATAATAATAATAATAATAATAATAATAAGATAAAGATAGCAGTAGTAATAATAATGATTTTGGTGAGGGGCTCTTGATACAAGGAACTGGAGCTGCCCTGCCCCCCTCTTTCCTTGAAACAAGCCTCATTACCTTCTCCTTCTCCCTCTTCTGAAGTGGAACATGCCGCCCCCTTCCCCTCCTCCTACAGTGACGCGTCGAAAGCTGTCAGGTTCTTCTTAGAAAATTACTGTTAGCAGCACTCAATTAAGCCCTAATGAGGCCTAACTGGCCTTCCTAGCATTTAATGAGGGGGCACATTTGTTCATTTACCGACGCAAGGCTTAACGAGGAGAAACGAGGGGGCGGAGGTCGACAAAGAAACAAGAAGATATGATAGGAGACGGCGCTAGGCCAGTCTAGGACTGGAATGATGAGAGTGTTCCACCCAGGGTGTCGTGGAGTGTTCCACCCAGGGTGTTGTGGAGTGTTCCACCCAGGGTGTTGTGGAGTGTTCCACCCAGGGTGTTGTGGAGTGTTCCACCCAGAGTGTTGTGGAGTGTTCCACCCAGGGTGTTGTGGAGTGTTCCACCCAGAGTGTTGTGGAGTGTTCCACCCAGGTGTTGTGGAGTGTTCCACCCAGAGTGTTGTGGAGTGTTCCACCCAGGGTGTTGTGGAGTGTTCCACCCAGGGTGTTGTGGAGTGTTCCACCCAGGGTGTTGAGTGTTCCACCCAGGGTGTTGTGGAGTGTTCCACCCAGGGTGTGGAGTGTTCCACCCAGGGTGTTGTGGAGTGTTCCATCCAGGGTGTGGAGTGTTCCACCCAGGGTGTGGAGTGTTCCACCCAGGGTGTTGTGGAGTGTTCCACCCAGGGTGTTGTGGAGTGTTCCACCCAGGGTGTTGTGGAGTGTTCCACCCAGGGTGTTGTGGAGTGTTCCACCCAGGGTGTTGTGGAGTGTTCCACCCAGGGTGTTGTGGAGTGTCCCACCCAGGGTGTGGAGTGTTCCACCCAGGGTGTTGTGGAGTGTTCCACCCAGGGTGTGGAGTGTTCCACCCAGGGTGTTGTGGAGCGTTCCACCCAGGGTGTGGAGTGTTCCACCCAGGGTGTTGTGGAGTGTTCCACCCAGGGTGTTGTGGAGTGTTCCACCCAGGGTGTTGTGGAGTGTTCCACCCAGGGTGTGGAGTGTTCGACCCAGGGTGTTGTGGAGTGTTCCACCCAGGGTGTGGAGTGTTCCACCCAGGGTGTGGAGTGTTCGACCCAGGGTGTTGTGGAGTGTTCCACCCAGGGTGTTGTGGAGTGTTCCACCCAGGGTGTTGTGGAGTGTCCCACCCAGGGTGTGGAGTGTTCCACCCAGGGTGTTGTGGAGTGTTCCACCCAGGGTGTGGAGCGTTCCACCCAGGGTGTTGTGGAGCGTTCCACCCAGGGTGTGGAGTGTTCCACCCAGGGTGTCGTGGAGTGTTCCACCCAGGGTGTCGTGGAGTGTTCCACCCAGGGTGTCGTGGAGTGTTCCACCCAGGGTGTCGTGGAGTGTTCCACCCAGGGTGTCGTGGAGTGTTCCACCCAGGGTGTCGTGGAGTGTTCCACCCAGGGTGTCGTGGAGTGTTCCACCCAGGGTGTCGTGGAGTGTTCCACCCAGGGTGTCCGTGGAGTGTTCCACCCAGGGTGTCGTGGAGTGTTCCACCCAGGGTGTCGTGGAGTGTTCCACCCAGGGTGTCGTGGAGTGTTCCACCCAGGGTGTCGTGGAGTGTTCCACCCAGGGTGTCGTGGAGTGTTCCACCCAGGGTGTCGTGGAGTGTTCCACCCAGGTGTCGTGGAGTGTTCCACCCAGGGTGTCGTGGAGTGTTCCACCCAGGGTGTCGTGGAATGTTCCACCCAGGGTGTCGTGGAGTGTTCCACCCAGGGTGTCGTGGAGTGTTCCACCCAGGGTGTCGTGGAGTGTTCCACCCAGAGTGTGGAGTGTTCCACCCAGGGTGTAGAGTGTTCCACCCAGGGTGTTGTGGTGTGTTCCACCCAGAGTGTTGTGGAGTGCTCCACCCAGGGTGTTGTGGAGTGTTCCACCCAGGGTGAGGAGTGTTCCACCCAGAGTGTGGAGTGTTCCACCCAGGGTGTAGAGTGTTCCACCCAGGGTGTTGTGGAGTGTTCCACCCAGGGTGTTGTGGATTGTTCCATCCAGGGTGTGGAGTTTTCCACACAGGGTGTGGAGTGTTCCACCCAGGGTGTTGTGGAGTGTTCCACCCTGGGTGGGTGTTGTGGAGTGTTCCACCCAGGGTGTGGAGTGTTCCACCCAAAGTGTGGAGTGTTCCACCCTGGGTGTTGTGGAGTGTTCCACCCTGGGTGTTGAGTGTTCCACCCTGGGTGTTGTGGAGTGTTCCACCCTGGGTGTTGTGGAGTGTTCCACCCTGGGTGTTGTGGAGTGTTCCACCCAGGGTGTTGTGGAGTGTTTCACCCAGGGTGTGGAGTGTTCTACCCAGGGTGTGGAGTGTTCCACCAGGGTGTGGAGTGTTCCACCCAGGGTGTGGAGTGTTCCACCCAGGGTGTCGTGGAGTGTTCCACCCAGGGTGTTGTGGAGTGTTCCACCCAGGGTGTTGTGGAGTGTTCCACCCAGGGTGTTGTGGAGTGTTCCACCCAGGGTGTTGTGGAGTGTTCCACCCAGGGTGTTGTGGAGTGTTCCACCCAGGGTGTTGTGGAGTGTTCCACCCAGGGTGTTGTGGAGTGTTCCACCCAGGGTGTTGTGGAGTGTTCCACCCAGGGTGTTGTGGAGTGTTCCACCCAGGGTGTGGAGTATTCCTCTCAGGGTGTGGGGTGTTCCACCCAGGGTGTTGTGAAGTGTTCCATCCAGGGTGTCGTGGAGTGTTCCATCCAGGGTGTCGTGGAGCGTTCCACCCAGGGCGTGGAGTGTTCCACCCAGGGTGTTGTGGAGTGTTCCACCCAGGGTGTTGTGGAGTGTTCCACCCAGGGTGTTGTGGAGTGTTCCACCCAGGGTGTTGTGGAGTGTTCCACCCAGGGTGTTGTGGAGTGTTCCACCCAGGGTGTTGTGGAGTGTTCCACCCAGGGTATTGTGGAGTGTTCCACCCAGGGTGTTGTGGAGTGTTCCACCCAGGGTGTTGTGGAGTGCTCCACCCAGGGTGTTGTGGAGTGTTCCACCCAGGGTGTGGAGTGTTCCACCCAGAGTGTGGAGTGTTCCACCCAGGGTGTAGAGTGTTCCACCCAGGGTGTTGTGGACTGTGCCACCCAGGGTGTTGTGGATTGTTCCATCCAGGGTGTGGAGTTTTCCACACAGGGTGTGGAGTGTTCCACCCAGGGTGTTGTGGAGTGTTCCACCCTGGGTGGGTGTTGTGGAGTGTTCCACCCAGGGTGTTGTGGAGTGTTCCACCCAGGGTGTTGTGGAGTGTTCCACCCAGGGTGTGGAGTGTTCCACCCAGGGTGTGGAGTGTTTCACCCAGGGTGTCGTGGAGTGTTCCACCCAGGGTGTTGTGGAGTGTTCCACCCAGGGTGTTGTGGAGTGTTCCACCCAGGGTGTTGTGGAGTGTTCCACCCAGGGTGTTGTGGAGCGTTCCACCCAGGGTGTGGTGTGTTCCACCCAGGGTGTCGTGGAGTGTTCCACCCAGGGTGTTGTGGAGTGTTCCACCCAGGGTGTTGTGGAGTGTTCCACCCAGAGTGTGGAGTGTTCCACCCAGGGTGTAGAGTGTTCCACCCAGGGTGTTGTGGAGTGTGCCACCCAGGGTGTTGTGGATTGTTCCATCCAGGGTGTGGAGTTTTCCACACAGGGTGTGGAGTGTTCCACCCAGGGTGTTGTGGAGTGTTCCACCCTGGGTGGGTGTTGTGGAGTGTTCCACCCAGGGTGTTGTGGAGTGTTCCACCCAGGGTGTTGTGGAGTGTTCCACCCAGGGTGTCGTGGAGTGTTCCACCCAGGGTGTCGTGGAGTGTTCCACCTAGGGTGTCGTGGAGTGTTCCACCCAGGGTGTCGTGGAGTGTTCCACCCAGGGTGTTGTGGAGTGTTCCACCCAGGGTGTTGTGGAGTGTTCCACCCAGGGTGTTGTGGAGTGTTCCACCCAGGGTGTTGTGGAGTGTTCCACCCAGGGTGTGGAGTATTCCTCTCAGGGTGTGGGGTGTTCCACCCAGGGTGTTGTGAAGTGTTCCACCCAG